AAACAAAGAACATCTACCATTTATTAAATATTCAGTATGTGGTAGGTCACCAACCTTGACTCATACGTGACTGTTTTGACACAACTATCTTGTGAAGCAACTGGTTTATCCCTATATAACAAATGAAGATATCAAGGCTCAGAAAGGTCAAACCATTTTTCTGAAGTGCCTCAGTAGATTAGGGGAGATCTGAGCCCCAATCTAGCTGTATGTGTTATGCCACCTCCATACTGGGTCATGTACACAAATGAGCCATATTGGTCAACCAGGGACTAAACAGACAACAGACTCCTAGTCATCTGAGGACAAGCCAGTAGGTCTGTGTAATTCCATGCTGGTGTTCACACAATGATCAATTCGCCTACTAACACATTTCTCAGAACGTATTACCATTGTTAAGTGACACATGGCTGTAGGAAACATGTTTTACTTACCAGTTTGTTAGCTCTTTTATATATCTCATACATCTGCACTTTTGGCCTGTACCCAAGTTCTGTATGCATCAATAAATAAATCTTCAAAAAAAAAACAAAAAAACCATCTAGATGTCTGAATGGACGACCAGGCCAAAGAAGAAGGAAAGTGAACAGCAAGCCTTAAGGGTGTTGAGCTCTGTCCTCTCAACCACTCTCTTCAACATCATCGATGGCCTGGGGTCAAGGAGGGAACAGGAGGGAGGGAGCCATATCCAGCCATTTTTTGCAGAAAGCCAGTAAAAACCCAGAAGGACATAAACCATCTTCCCTCTGGATACATAGTGTTGAGTCTTGCCAGGGGAGCCTGACTATGATGCAATTTAGAGCTGCATGTGATACATTCATTGTTCACAAAGTGAGCCAATTTTAGCTGTCCCAAGCATTTTGCTAGCATGGTCACTTGCCACTATGTCATCTATGCCACTGACTCCACCAGGAGGAAGGAGGGGCTAAGCACAGAGTGACCCACTTGTCACTGCCGCCACGTCACAGTGGTCTGATATGCACATGATACAGGAGACACCCAGGCAACGAGGCTCAGTCCACAATCCTGGGGCTGGAGAAGGCAAAAAATCCACTGCCTTCAAAGGATGGGTAGGCATAAAAGGAAAAATGCAAAAAAAAAAAAAAAAAAAAAAAAAGAAGAGGTGGGGGTGTCTTTGGAGGGTAGTGGGATCTAGTCTGGAAGACTCAATTTTGTCATCTATTTGGAACGGAGCCTTGGTCAAAATGTCCCTGCAAAGTGTGTAGCAAATTAGTTCTCAGATCAAGAGAAACTATGTTAGGGTCATAAGCATGAGAAATGGTGACTGAGCACAGAGTTTCCAAACATGAGCTTTTTTGGGGTTATATCAAGTGCACTTTGGTGTGAAGGGAGAGAAAACCTACCCAGAGACAAGGTCAAAGGCTTCGCTGTGTCTTAGACACCAGGGGTATAGACGACAGCCTGGCCCCTATCTGGACTCTGTGCCACTCAGGCAAACCTCAGATGAGACTCACACACACTTCCAAACACTACAAAAAAAAAGAGCCAGGCCTGGCTTTGCAGGAGCAGCTTCTTCCGCCAACTCCAATAAGCTGAAGATCAGAATGACAGGTTTGGGAGGGAAGGAGGTGCCCCAGTCCTGGATAGGTTTCAAGTATGGGAAGAGGAACCACTTTTAGGGATGTTGTAGAGGAGATTCTGATACCGGATCAGGAGTTAACTGTTAATATAATAAGAGCTAAAGTGGAAGTTTTCACCACAGCATCAAGATGGGAAATTCCAAAGCCAGGAGCCAAACCATAATGTGGACATTTCTAAGAAGCTGATTTAGCTGGCTCAAAGATCCATAAAGAGGATATACACAGTTTCAGGATAGTGGAAAGAGGCGGATTCTGTGGGGAAAGTCCTTGGAAGTGATCTGACTCCCGTCCTCCCCAAGGGGGTGGACCTGTCATCTCAAGCCTCTGGAAAAGGGATTCAAAAGCAACATCTGCAGAGTTCCATATCTGCCCTTGGAATCTAGGGACTGATATGACATCTGCCTAAGGCCAAAATGTCAAAGCGCCAGCTTTAGTGACTTCAGGTGTCAGAGTAGAAGGCTGTGTTGAGAAAGTGACTGCTGGTCCCCTACTCCCATTGGGGGAGCAGCCAGGATCTCCTAAGCACAGGCTGTGCCCAAGAGGGCTTCAGCCTGAGGGTGAGAAGCCCTTAAACAGAGACTCTGTCAGGAAGCGAGAGGCTGCTGATAGATGATAGAGGCACTGCTATATTCCTGGAGATCCAGATGAAAAGTTCAGACAAGGAATGCCACAGAAGTAGCCAGGGGAGAAAGACAGTCTCTTTACCCATCAGCCAGGCTCCAACTTTCCTCTCTGCCTCACCTAGAGAGGCCTGTAGCAGAGGGTTGTTGGAGGGGGAGGCAGAAGCCCTCCCTGCAGGCTGAAGGGGAGTCTTTTCTTGGAATGGCTGTGACCTACATGCCATAGAGTGAGCATTTTCAGTCTCTACAGCATATGTGTATATGTATGTATGTATGTATGTATGTGTGTGTATGTGTGTATGTGTGTCTGACTTACAATGGACGCAGCTACCTGAAAAATCATAGGCCTGATCAAGTTTTCAATCAGGAAATGGTGAAAAACACAACTCCACAGAGTAAACTTTCAAGGAACAGCAGGAGACAAGCATAAAACTGTCTTCATTACCTCACAAGTCCTGCTGGGTTCTAGCCACAGCTAACCTCTGCTCGGCACTGTCTATATGCTGATGCTAGGCCAAGGGCTTTAGAGACATTATCTCATTACCATCGCCTAACAGCTTTTGACTCAAGTATGATTATCCCCTTTGTCAGAAAAGGAAACCGAAGTTCAGAAAGGTCAGGCAACCATCTTCTAGTCACACAGGTAGTTAGTAAGGCTAGTTTTGCATCATTTAGCAATGTGTCAGGCAATGACAATCACAGCCTAGGTGTGCAGTGGGCTATGCTGTGTAAGTTTCTATAATTAGATTCTGTGATGTTTTCCCAGCAACCAAATTGCCTAATGATGCATTTCTCAGAAAGTATCCCCATTATGTGACACAAGACTGCAGTAGCCTGCACTTGACTGCAAGTCTAATCCTGAACTCTGAACTGTACAACCATCTGAAATCTAACACAGATGAGTAGTTTTCAGGAGACAGCTGTGATTGAAGCAGGACAACTTGCATCCTGCTCATCATTCCCTTTGGGGAGTTCCTGCATTAGAAAACCAAAGAACAGAACTTGAAAACATTGATGTGCAAAATTTTAGTGCACTCGTTCAACTCTGGCAGTGTGGATGGGAAGGTGGAACAAAGGGTACCCATGACTCTAGACAAGGGGGAAGAGAAAAAAATTCAGAGTCTGTGTTCTCAGAAAGGCAGCTGGCAGGAGGTGACCCCAGTAAATAGTGCTATCATAGGCCTGAGGTTCACAGAACAGTACTCATGTGTATAAATACATAGTTCAGGTCATGCATGACCAGCACTTAGTACAGAACCCGGCACCAGAGTAAGTAATAGGTAAATGACACTGGAACTGTGACAAGTTTACATATATATCTAAAAACCTCAATATATAATTTAATGCAACATACTCAGCCACTGACATCATTGTGTCTATTTCATGAGGAGCCATGTTTATCATGGACGCTGAATTTTATAGTTGAGCCAAGACAAGAAACACACAAAAGATTATGTTAGCAAAATCTACATTTAAGTCTGAAGCAATGGCCCTAAGTAGTAGAGAATCGTCGGTTCTTATGGAAAAAATTATGTCAGCATGAGCCCTTCCTTCCATAAAAAGTGCATATATGCAACTGTACAAATAACTACAGAAGCCCATTTACTGATTCACTCAATGAATTGTACTCCTTTTAAGTCCTTTCATTATCTCCAGATAATAACCAATCCTGTAGATTCAAGGGAGAGGAGAAGATCCCTCAAGCCAGAGGCTACTTGCCCGATTACCCCAGTGGGCTCACCCACCCACATCCTCTCCATATACTCACTGATGCCAGTCTCAATCATGATACCAACTTGGAATAGGTGTCATTGTGACTTAAGCTGCACTTAATTTTAAAACCAAGTTTAATGGAACCCCTCCCCCCCCAAAAAAAAGTTTCTGAATCAGTAGATTCTGGTACCTAGAAATGTCATTTGTTTGGCATGCTTTTTTCCTCCTTTTTTCTTCTAATAACAAAATTCCACTTTTTTTTCATAGGAGCCCCATTCCATGTAACTTTGGTGGGATGCACCCTGTCAGGGGACACATGAACAAGCCATAGCCAAAGAAATACTGTGAATGGTCCTAGATGAAACCGGAAGAACCACACAGCTGAGCCCAACCCAAATGCCAATCCAGAGAATTGTGAGATAAAGAAATAACTGTCATTCTGAGTCAATAAATTTTGGGATGGTTTGTTATATAGCAAGAGCTAATTAACACATACTGCAAATAATATCACCACAATATCAGGGTGTGATGCTACATGAAGCCCCAGAAACTCTTGCACTTAAGAAAATATATTACTTTCCTAGATTGAAAGAAATAAAAGTTTTCTACCATTAACAGAAATTTTATCTCACAGCAGTCACATTTAGATTCAGAGAGAGAGGAGGAAAAAAAAACAAAAACCAAAACAGAGCAATGAGAAAACTAGCATGTGAGCCAATTTTCATTACAACACACTGCAAGGGACAGTCTGAATTCCTTGGCTCAAGTAACACTCTGTTGTTCTGGATACTGCCTGAAGCAAGCACACCATCACAGGGGGCCTGAAAATAGTTTCATTATCAAGAAAAAAAAATTATAGAACTTTTCTCTATTTTCTTAACAAGAGAACATGGATTGATCTTTTTTTCAAAGTATTAAAACATCTTAAGCAATTTCAAAGAGGGGGGAAATGGTGAATGAACAGACATCTAATCATAGTACTGGTAGGGATGCAGCATATAAATGTAATTATCATTTCAAAAATAATGTCAAATAGTCATTTTGTTCTAAAAATGAAAGAACTTACCAGTAAGATTTTGTGGGCCACACAGTTGTCAGGTCCTAAGTGGTGGAATGAATCTGAAATAGAATTAAAACTCCATAAGTAAGTCACATTTGGAAAGGATGTGCCATGATATTGAATATTGATTCTTCCAGTTAAAGATTAGCAAAGCTTTTTCTGGCTGCTGGTGAGAATTTTTGCCTACATATTTCAACTTGCATTCTCTCATCTACTTTAGGGAGCAAGCACTGAAAGTCTGAAACCAGTATAACTATAAATGGTAGTGTTTTCATCCAAACCCCTCCAAGTCAGCAGAAGCCTCTCTAGCTTTTGTTCTTGCCCTGGGCCTTCAATTCTCTCTGCTGGGACCAAGCCATGGTTGTCTTTTGGAATCAATTAAAAAATAGATGGTTCAGTATATCATGAAGGGTAATGGGAGGGAGGTACAAGTCCTTCCATAGTGAACCCCTAAGCACAAATAACCACAAATGTGTGATTTATTGATAATGTGAGCTGAAGGCTGTTCAATGGAAATGTAACAAGGCAACATATAAAATTTTAAATTTTCTAGTCGCTGCATTAAAAAAGCAAAATGGAAGATGAAATTTCAATAATTATATTTAATTTAACCTAATTTATGCAGCACATTATCATTTCTTCATGTAGCCAACATAAAACATTTTTTAATGAGACATTTTCATTTTTTTGTTGTTGTTGCACTAAATCTTTAAGACCCAGTTCATCTTAACTCAGGCTACTCACATTTCACATAGTCTCATTAGCTACTCAGGCTGTTATACTAGTTGGCACAGACCTAGGGAATCTATTCTTGGTCTTCAGGTACTGGCAAGACTCCAAAGGTAGTCAAATGCATATGAAGATTTATTGATCTATTTATCCTTCCTCGAGTAACCTATCATTACCCCATTTCAAGATTCATTTAGTAAAACAAGAATGTGATAATAGCAAACACTTATATAGCACCTGCTGTGTGCCAGGAACTGTTCTCAACATGCCCCTATGTTAACTAATCCTTGCAATAACTTCATGAGTTAAGTGCAGTATCATTCCAGTTTTAGTAAGGAAAATGAAACGGAGAGGCTACTAAGTATTTTAGGTTTATAAGCGAGTGAGAGAGCTGGATTCTCATTTACATAGCCTGCCTCCAGAGCCCATGCCCTAAGCCACTATATTCTCAAAGATGAATGGTTAAAAATAAAATTATTACTTTGAACTTTAATGAAAACCATCATGTGATGCCAGGCTTTCTATCATGATGCCTACATAGATCTGGATAATAGCAATGATGGTAGAGGGAAGATTTATGAGATGTCCTCGTAAATTAAAATAAAAATACTTTGAGGTAGAAGCACCGAAACTGAAAGTAAGAGTAAGTTTCTGGTCAAAAAGAGTACACTGGGTCGTGGGGCCTGTTTGATGAACAAGGTGAGGCTAGAGAGGAGGGTATGTGGGTTCCTTGCAAAATCTTGTCTGTGATTTTTCTGAGGGAGGGTTCTATCATGTTTATCTAATTTTAGATATCTTAGTGTCTGCCTTAGCAAGATAGGAAGGAAGAGAAGAAAGATCAAGTTGAAGGGAACTTAAAAATTACACCCTTTCCACATTTATCAGTGCAACCCAGAGAAATTAAACCCAGTAGGCAACACCAGAATCACACACATTGCCAGCTCAAATAGGGAGAGGAGGTTGGTTGGTGACCCTGTTTAGTATCAACCAGGCATGTTGCCCAGTCTCACGTGGTGGAAGTCCTTCAGAGGCTTCTTCCAGGTTTTAGGGTCAAGTTTAAGTTCCTTCACCCAGTCTGCATAGTCGCCAGATCTGGAGCCCACCTGCTTCCTGGGCGTTCTCCCACAGGCATCATGTCTTAGTCACACCGACCTAGTTACAGGTCCTCAAATGCCCCACAGGTGCACTCCTCAGTGACTTCACAGAGAGCCACACTTATTCTTTATAGTATTATCCTCTTTTCAAGCCTCAAATGTCACCACCCCCAGAAAGCCTTTGTGAACACTCTTGGCTGACTTAGGGACAACTTCTCTGCAATAACACAGTAAAGGTATTCATTCAATTGAATTAAAAATTATGTGCTAACAGTGACACTAATAAAAGTGGAACGTATGGAGTTGTGTGCATGCTCTGTCCCAAGTGCTTTACATGACCTTTTAAATCCTCTCAGCAACCATATAAAGTAGTTTTATTACCCCATTTAACAGATGAGCAAACTGAGGCACAGGGGTTAAGTCAGAAGTCCAAGGTCACACAGTTTATAAGTGGCAGCATCAGACTGTGACCCCAGACTGCCAGGCTCCAGAGCCTGCCACTTACTGGCTGTTACAGTGGGCTGCCTCTCACTGGATTCCATTGCCCTCTGCTCTCATGCCCAGGTACCTCCTTCTGTTACTGCTAGGAGCTCCTGGGCTGCAACTTTTCATTTACTGGTCTCTGAGAATGTACCTAACTCATTTATGTCTTTCCAAGACCTACCAAGGCACCCACAGGAAAATACTGAAACAGAAAGGGAGGAATAGGCCATCGAGCTATAGACCTGAGCTGAATAAAGTTACATACACCAGGATACAGCCTTCGAATATGCACTTTAACCTGGCAAGCTTTAACTTCATCTTTCAAATCCAGCCTGTGCTGAGGGGTCACTTCTAGGTCTGTCCAGTAGTCGAGAGAACAGAAGCAACTCTGCATGTGGACTTCAGGCCACTAACAAGTTCACTGGCGTCACTTTACTTTGCCTGGAGGTCTAAGTAACATCACTCCTCTAAAAGCCTCAGCTGATAGTATAAAGGAATGCCAGAAGACACTGTCAACAAAAAAGACACAAGCACATAGTGTCAAATAACTCAATGTGAGATCTCACAAGCCTGTGTGCACTCACACACACACACACACACACACACACACATTTTTAAGTAATAGCCTTGAAAAAGCTTCCCCTTGCTGTTTGCTTGTGGCTTTCATTCTCTATTCTAGAGTTTCACAACATATATCTTTTCATCACGATTTAAACTCTCCTCAGATGGTTATAAAAAGTGACCTTGTAGGAAGACACTCTCCTCTTTGTCTACTATTGTGAAAGATGTTTCAAGACCTGAGACATACACAGACCTTGAGGGGAAAAAAAAGAGCTCTTTCTAGCTCCCATTAGAGATGGCACTCAGAGACCAATGTAATTAGCCCTAACACCCTCTCCCCCCCTTCTCACTCCATCTAGAATATAGAAGCAACCACCAACTAACTCTCCTTGTACATGGAAGTCAGCACCATCTCATTTATTAACAACCAAACTGCAAATCTATATTTTGACTCTTACCATCTTATCTCCTTCCATGATAAACATCAATTTACTTATTATTGAAAGGTTTACTGAGTGCAAGTTAGATGCCAGGCATGGTTGTAAGTGCCAGAGATGCTGCAATGAGTGAGGCAAATAAAAGATTCCTGACACAGGAGCCCTTGAATAGTAAGAGGAGCCAGAAAAGCAAGTATCCAAAAAAGTTAGACAATGCCAAACAGTGGTCCTGTTTGTAACTTAAATTCTACACATTTCTGCATGGAAGCACAAATGTTAGAACCTACTGAAGAGATGAACAGGGTCAATGGTGGCTTCACTGGGGGAGAGCTAGATTGATGGGGAAATAATTCTGATGTGACCTCATTAACTTTAGGAAATCTAAATGAAGATGTCAAAAGAGCATAAAGTCTAGAACTATTCTGTCCTGTATACTCACACATATGGGGATTTAAAGGAAAGAATTAAAAACCTATTTCTCCAATGGTTGAGTACACATACACAGGAGCAGCTACTGTGTTGAGCAGCACTTGGGGAGAGCATTTCCATGGACATAAAAAGTTCTATTGGGCAGAGCTGTCCTATAACTAACACAATGACTACTAGGCATTTTGCATTATTCTGAAGTTTACAGCAGGTAAAACACCCCACAAAATTATAGCCCTGGGAGATAAAGATCTCCCTTTGAATAACAACTGAATTCTGATCTCTCTGAATGTTCTTATTTCTAGTTCACTTTAATTCTCTAGACAGTAACAAAATAACACTGTGGGGGAGTGGGGGTGAACACTAGATTTATAGGCCTATCTCCCAATGCCTTTCATTACCAGTGACTTACAACAAATCACTTAACTTAAACTTGCTCAGTTTCCCCAGTTACAAAATGAGAAGTGACCCTGAATGGACTGTATTGAGAACTATGTTGGAGAAATGCATACAAGAACTGGGGTACAAGCCAGAGGTGCAGGAAGTGAGAGAATTCACTAGAGTCAGAGTAGGGAGCAGATCAGGCAGATTGGCCAAAATACACTGCTGAGGGGAGCAGTGGGAGAGACAGGAAAGGTCTGCTGTGCCATGTGGATTGACTCCCTGGCCAGGGATCAAACTCCTCCTGCAGTTGCTGCGGGTAGCTTCATAGTGCTGAGACTTAACCCCCTGTGCCACCAGGGAGGCACTGCAGAAATGTTTCTAACACTCAAAGCATCTCCACTGTTCTTTAATCAGGCCCATTATGTTTTTACTTGCAACTTCTGACATGATGTTCTCTCAAATGATCAAATGGACATAGAAAAGGTACTTTGAAATGTCTAAAGTACCCTACTAGAGGCATAAAAATGGTGATAAAAAGTTGAAAGAAATATATGCTGTGTCTTGAGTCCATCACAAAAATTTCTCTGCTATTCAATATTGAACAGCCTCCTGAGTCTGTAAATGTCAAAGAATTATGCTTCAAGTCTTCAACCCCAAAGGGGAAAGTAAACCAAAATGGTGACATTTTCCCCCATGGTGGAAGAGTTTCTGTCCCAAGGAAGGGCACACCCTATGTGAATGAACTGGCCTACTTTAACCAACAGCCACCACCCCTCTATCTCCCCTAAGACTGGTTCCTGCTGGAAGAGCTAGTCTGGGCTGTTCATCAGGAGAAACTTTTCCACAGGATTACTATCCTAAACACACAAAGAGCTTCTAGAGACTTAAAAATTTTTCAGTGGACTAGGGGCACTACACCTGATGGAATATATACACACAAAA